GATAGCTAGAGGGGAGAATGGGGTAAGAAAAATGACACAAACATTGTAGTAGGGGAGGGATCAGCCAAACAGAAAGATCTAAAGAAAGAAGATTTTTAAAATGTTTCCTGTAGTCTGTCCCCAAGAAAACATGTGGGGAAGCCAGATAAGAGGCTTTTTAAGTAGTCCAGCCCTTTAACACCAGCACATCACTAGGCAAATTAGGAGTTGGTTGTGAAATCAATACAAGAATGCAAATGTTGATTTGACAATGAAATTTTTGCAGACTTTGAGGAAGCAGCATGTCCTATAAATGGAACATGGCCGGGCTATGTAAATACAGTGGCTTCATGCTCCTGGTCAGAAGAAAGTGCCGTTGCCCTGAGTGATTTTCCTCACCAGTATTATAAACACACCGTTCTTGGAGTTTGAATCTAATGAGTAATATGGAAGCTCAAGACTTGAATGCACTCAGAGGAGAACCCAGATTTTTCTAGAAAAATTTATATGTTTAATCATAGATTCCCCCCTACTCAAATCCTTGGGCATCAATTCACACCAAACCATTTACATTGTTGCTTATCTGCCTAAAACTACTAAGCTCTGTAAATCTGTAGTAATACTTCTTGAGCTCCCAGACTTTAAGCACATCAGTTTCAGAAGTGAAAAGGACCCTACAGCCCAGCCTGTGCGTCTCAGTGGTTGAGAATTGACCCAGGAACCAGGAGGTCACATTTAAATTCCTGGACAGGGCATATGCCAAGGTTTTGGGCTCAATTCCTAGTAGGGGGCATACAGGAGGCAGCTAATCAATGATTCTCTCTCCTCATTGGTGTTTCTATTTCTCTCTTCCTTTCTAAAATCAATAAAAATATATTTAAAAAAAAGAAATGGACCCAGCAGGTCACAGCAGTCCTCTTAGCTGCCCCTGCCCCCTCACTATCATTTTCTCCAATGATGAAACAGAGGTCCATTGACGTGTACAAGATCACAAAGGTGTCCATTAGAAACAGTGCTTCTAAAGTCATGAGGGCATTTTTTATGTAGCCAATCTACCGTGAACCCAAGGTCTCCATTACAAAGGCAATTTCTAGATTTTCATGCCTTCATTCATTCTTATTTCAATTCACTAAAATATACACTGAAAAAAAATCATGCTTTTAGTATTAGCATTTTCATAAATGTCAAAAATTCATAGATTTGCTGCTAAGAAACACTAATGGGCTTAATAATAAATCACAGAGTAAAATAAAAAATATATCATGTACTGGGATATATGAGAAATAACTTTATATCACATGCATTTACTTTTTAAAAGAATGCACACACACACAAACACACACACACACACACACTAGAGGCCCGGTTCACGAAATTCGTGAATGGGGGGTTATCCCTTGGCCCAGCCTGCACCCTCTCCAATCTGGTATCCCTCTCACAATCCAGGACTGCTGGCTCCCAACCGCTCGCCTGCCTGATTGCCCCTAACCCCTTCTGCCTGCCAGCCTGATCACCCACTAACCACTCCTCTGCCAGCCCGATTGCCCCTAACTGCCCTCCCCTGACAGCCTGGTTGCTCCAAACTGCCCTCCCCTGCAGTCCTGGTCCCCCATAACTGCCTTCCCCTGCAGGGCTGGTCACCCCAAACTGCCCTCCCTGCAGGCCTGGTCACCTCCAACTGCCCTCCCCTGCAGGCCTGGTCGCTCCCAACTGCCCTCCTCCCCTGCTGGCCTGGTCACCCCTAACTGCCCTCCCCTGCTGGCCTGGTCACCCCTAACTGCCCTCCCCTGCTGGCCATCTTGTGTTCACATGGGGGTGGCCATCTTGTGCAAGGGCGTGACAGTCAATTTGCATATTACCTCTTTATTATATAGGATACACACACACACACACACACACACACATATATATATATATTAATCTATATCTTACTCTAGTTAGATATAGAGGTAAGAACCTTTATGCCTACATTAGTGGCCAGATTTGATATATCTTAAAACTCTTCTCATCAAAATAATGATTATATTTCTATTAGAGGCCCGGTGCATGAAATTCATGCAGGGGTGTGTGTTCCTCAGCCCAGACTGCACCCTCTCCAATCTGGGACATCCCTCTCATAATTAAGGACTGCTGGCTCCCAACTGCTCACCTGCCTGCCTGCCTGATCACCCCCTAACCACTCCCCTGCCAGCCTGATCATTGCCTAACTGCTCCCCTGCCAGCGTGATTGTCCCTAACTGCCCTCCCCTGCCAGCCTGGTCACCTCCAACTGCCCTCCCCTGCAGGCCTGATCCCCCCCAACTGCCCTCCCCTGCTGGCCATCTTGTGTCCACATGGGGGCGGCCATCTTGTGTGTTGGAGTGATGGTCAATTTGCATATTACTCTTTTATTAGATAGGATGAAATAGGGGGACAAAATCTTTTATTCAAATTATGTTTTAAATCTTATTAAAAGTGAAATTTTATTCTCAATTGAATAAATTTTATAATACATAACTAATGTAGAAACATAAAAATGAAAATATGAGCAACCATCTGTGAAGAAATTCTTAAAACAGCATTTCTACAAACAACTTTGTGAGGTATAACTGAAATACAGTAAAGTGCAAATACTGAAAGTGTACAATTTGATTACTTTTAACCCTTTGCGGTCGTTTGTCTGCTCTCAGCCACCACAGCAAGGAACCGTACGAATCTTAACTCTATTCATTCATGTATCAGTTCATAATTTCTCTGAAAGCTCTTAAGTGTCTAAGCGACCTTGTCACGAACCAAAACATTGCCCCGACAAATCAGAGATACCAAAACTCAATATAAACAAACACGGTCGTTCCACACTCGCCATGCAAAACACCGTAGCGAGTCAGTCGCCTTTTGAGAGTGAAGAAATCAACAAGCTTCGGAGATACTTCGCAGAATTTCAAATAAAGCTTTACAGATTATGTTTAACTGTAATTAGGCATTCTCGCTTGTTAAGATATTTCAAAATAATACTCCAAAATGGCAAAAAGAAAGTTACCGAAAGAAGTGTACTGCGAATCTGAAAGTAACAATGAAGAGTTTTATTTTGGCACCTTGAATACTGACTCTGACGTAGAAAGTGATAACGTTTGTAGTGATTCTACTAGTAGTGACGTAGTTCCAAAAAAGAATTAATAAATCTTGTTTATCCTTCATAATCTTGCATGTTAAGTCTCACTGCTCTTTCAATGGAAATTAATTCCGACCAGTGCGACCCCCATGTCCAAATTTAATACGACCGCAAAGGGTTAAAATATGTAGAAAACTACTGTTCAACCATCATCTCAATCATAGATAACAAACATATCTATTACTCCCAAAGATTCCTTGTATCCAGGATAATCCACTTCTCTCCCCATCCCATCCCTAGATAATCACTGATCATCTTTCAGCCACTGTTTGCATTTTCTAGAACATTATGTAAGTGAAATCATAAGCACCCAATAAATACTTTTATTTTTTTTGCCTGGCTTCTTTCATTCAGCACATTGAATTTGTAATTTATCCATGTAGTTGTATGCATCAATTTAGAATTTGTCCATCTATTAATCTGTTGATAGTTATCTGGGTCTTTTTTTGGAGAATAAAATGCATACTCCTTTACTTCTTTCTGTACAGTGTCCTTGGAAAAATTACTAGTCTCTCTGACTCTTAGTATTCTCCTCTACAAACTTGTGTTTAATATCTGCCTCATAGGTTTTACAAGGATTAAACCACCGAACACATTGCCCAACACTCAATTGCCTTACTGGTGTCAGTTATGAGGTGACACTTTCCTCCTATTGAAATGCTTTCATTCTTTTCTAATTATTTTAGTGTCCTCTTAAACATTACCATAATTCAAGCCCCATTGTCTGCTCAGCAGACATAGGGCTACCAATATAGTTGCTTCTTAAAATTTCATCCTTCTTTTGGAATTTATTGGCTTCTGTAACTGGTGACAAAGTGTTCTGTTTTTTACACACATGCCCACGCTAGCTATGGAATGTCTACCTAGGCAGAATGTGGAGACAACAATCAAGCCAGGATCTGTTTCTAGAAGCTTAAAAGCTGTGTTTGCATTGTAAAAGTTCTATATTAAATGAGATGATATGTTAATTTGTGGTGCTTATGGGGAGGAGCAGTTGAAACAAATTCTGGATTTGAGGAAGTAACTAAAGCCCTTCTAATCCACCCATTGCTGCTACCAAAGTTCATTCAGCTCTCTTTGTTTTCTTTTTCCAAATTATTATTTCTTCACTGCTACTCCTTTAAATGTGCCCACATTCAATTGTCCTGCCTGGTCAAATTTTGTCTATGAAAATATAAATAAATACATACATAAATAAATGCATAAGTAAATAAATGGTGTTGATTTTCTCTTTCTTCACATTCTTTGTAAATATTATGTCCAACTAAGCTACTAAATCTAGTTCAGTTGGCAGATGGTGATGGACAAAAGAATTTTAATGCCCCCTGTGGATATTATACGTGTGTGTGGTAGGGTGGGGGGCGGGGGTACTGAGGCTAAGTACCATGCTAATAAGATCAAGCCAACATATTTGATAGTCATTGGGACCAGGGTGGTTTGCTGTAATGACAATTCTATTTACTTAAAGTTGACTTTATTGACATAGTTATTTGTTCACCAAAAAGCAGTGTGGAAGTGGAGTGGGTAACAGATGAAAATGTGAATACAAAAATAATATAACCTAAAGATGACTAGATAACAACATCATGAAATATAAGGAAGATTGTATGATATTGCCATTCGTTTTTTAATGGAATTAGACATTGCACAGAGTATGGGCATGTTGCCTATGAACTTTGAAGTCCCCTGGCATGTGCAGCATTGTCCAGTAATTTAATTGACTGAAACAATTACAAAGAAATGAACTTTTTATTTACTACTCAGAAAAGTAAAGACTTTATATTTCATTTTTGTACCTTATTGGCTAACAGGAATGTGCACTCCACCAAGAGTTTTTAGAGAATAATATGATGTTTTTATATTTTATCAGGGATAACACTGTAATATGCAGAAATCTACAAATTCAGATACTTCTGTAGAAACACTGAATTCCACCCGCCAAGGCACTGGAGCTGTGCAGATGAGAATCAAAAATGCCAACAGTCACCATGATAGACTGAGCCAAAGTAAATCCATGATCCTCACCGATGTTGGGAAGGTCACTGAACCTGTAAGTCAATATCCTTAACAACCAAGTTCCCTAACACAGAATTTTGTGTAAAAAAACAACAACAACATGAATTAGCCTTGTTTTATTTGTTTTCCTAATGTGCATGAGAAAACTGATTTTATAATGTATTTTATCTTGCCTACTTATAGTCATAATAATGTCCCCAGTTGCAAGAGAAGGGATGAGCTTAATCCAGAGTGATAAAGTGTATTTGGAGCTAGACTGAAGAGCACCTTTGCCTCATTTTAAGGGTCTCCACTATCATGCTTCAGTGTCATAAAAATAATGAGGTTATGCTAGCATGTGGTGTTTGTACTTCCAAATACAGTACATCACTTTGAAAAGCCAGAGGCTAAAATTAGCTAAGAATAAACCGAGACGAGAAAAAAGTCTTTGGGGAAAAAAAACCCACAAAAACGCGACAATTTCTTTCTTAAAATTATCCCAGCGATATATGATATTGGAAATTAGGACTGATTTGGAATGAGCTGAAACGATTGAAATGGTATGGCAATTTAAGGTTTGGAGAGGAAGCCATTTTGTTTCGATAATGTGTCATTAGGAAGATTTGAAATAAAATAGTTAGAAATGAACTCTACTGCCAATTGTGTCCCTGCCCCTGCACGCATCCTGAGCCACTAAACACACTGATTGCGATGAGTCTCCTCTGGTTAATTTTCTTCCATAATGGTGGTAACTTGCAGCTGAGGCCATAGGATGTTACAAAATTATTTATGCAATGTTAGCCACTCTTTTGGACCCCGGATCTATGTTGTTTCTCACAGTGAGAGCAAAAGCGAGAAATAGGTTAGCTGGGGACAGGCTGTGTTTTCCAGTCACCCAGCAGAAACATGTGAGCTATTAATTGTGTGTTCCGTTAATATCACAGGGACCTATGAAATATTCAGCTCCCTAACTGAGTTATTAAATGAGATAAACTTGCTGAGTAGCATGTTACCAATTACATGTATTCCCTGTTTTTCACTCAAATTTCAAGTGCAAAATTAACCCACAATCATCTCAGGCACCTGAGAAATATAGGATTTGAATCATTCCTTCTTCAGGTATTAAAGGCAAATTTAGCATAAGGAAGCCAGTGATTATATTTTGGGAGCGAGAAATACACCCTTAGATAAGGTATCCAGAGATGCATTTTTCTTTATTTATTTCTCATTTAAAAGTATTGTCTGCAGGGAGGCACCACACTGCCAGCCCGACTCTGCATTTGAACCAGCTAAAATGTTCCTCAACTATGAACTTGAGGCAGTGGTTAGAGTAAATTATTGGAATCTCTATAATGTATTATCAGTAAGAACTGTACCTTTGAAGAAGTTTAAAAGTTAAGTATATTTAATGATGCCTAACATATTTTATTGGCTGTGTTTAACAAAAGGCACTATGCCGCAGTTGTTTTTGACAAGCATGAAAACATCACAGCGTGAGACTGCAAAAGGAATTATGGAGAGAAATTACAAGTGATCCATCTCTCAATGAATTATCCACCTCAATAGCCCGCAGAACTCAGCTACCAATTAACACCTACTTTATTACATGTTGGGATGTACTTAATAACTTTCATGTGTTTATGCACTATTACCTTGACTGATGCCTCTTGTACAATTAGGCATAATTGGCATATCAATATGCAAAAGTTAAAAGGATTAACCCTCTTAAAACTAATGAGCATTTCTGTATCCAGCTGCTAAATGAGACAAAATTAGCATTTTTCACTTTTGGGCAGGATTTTATCATGCAGTTTCTCATTGTTGATATTACCTTGTTACATAACTTTAGTTTGGGGGTTTGTATGCTGGACTGCTGGAGAATAAGAGTTTTCCAAAGTTAAATCAGCCATAATTATCCCAGCTTTTGTTTCCTCATTCTTAGCCTGGGCAATATGTATTCCTTGATAAGGAACAAAAATAAGTTACTTTGGGTGATGTGTGCTCAGTGCATAATTATATAAAAAGGGTATTTCAGTGAGGATATGTCATTTCACTGAGAAAACTTGGCTGAGATACTATATTGAAAGCTTGCCATGGCACTAATTTTCTTTCTGTCTCAGTTCTTTTCATCTCTTTTTTTCCATGCACAATTTTCTGACTAGATACTGACAGAATGTAAAGTATTTGGGCATATTTATTCAAACAAGCCTGTTAAAGATATCTGCTCAAGCTAACTAAGAACTTGATCTTTCAGAAGTTGAAGGTTGGAGTGAGGTCAAGGGGGGGGGGGTATTTTGAACTTAGGAGAAATAGGAGAAAATGTATAATAAAAATGTGTGCACATGTTTTCTGTACATTTAATCTGTACAGAAAAAATTAAGAATACTTAGAAACTATATATATATATCTTATGCATTCTATTTAGTATGCATGGTGTATATATATGTGCATCCTATTTAATATGCATGGTATATATGTATATATGTACACTGGCATGACAATTATGCAAATATGGACTTATTAGAGTACATAATAACACAAGAATCTGACCTTATGTTCATAACAATTTAACTTATTACAAAAAGTAATCAAAGGTTCTAGGGTCAAATCAATTATATAATTTTGTCATTAGTTCACAAATTCATCTTCTTTATTTTGTTCAATTATAAGTATGTTCAATACAACTGTGAGCTCAGAACACAATATAAACTTCTCCTATATACCTGATAAGCGCCTATTTGTTGGTGTTTAAATCTAGGAGCAAAAGTTTGAAATGTCAATATGAACATTAATTCAACCCTAAGCCCTGCAAACGTAGGTGAATTTACTTGTTAAATTAAAAGTTTTGATTACCTAAGTGCTGCAGGGAAGCTTTTCAGTGACCAGGTATCGATACTCCATTACTATTTTATTGGGTGGTATGCATCATTTTCCTTAAACCCCAAATAATCATTTTTATGTGGTTTATAAGATCGATGCCTTTTCAAAATTCAAAGGTCACTTTAGTACTTGGGGAATATTGGTGAGGGAGGAAATTTGGACATGGGAGGACATGGTTAGCAAGATCTGGAGATCTCTGCTTGGTAGGGAAGGAATGTTCTTTGGTCTCAGTGGTTTGCTGTCTCACCCTCAGTACTGGAGTGAGCCCTCTTAAAGGTGGACTGCTATTTATATACAGTGGGGACTTGACTTATGAGTGTCCCAACTAACGAGTTTTTCAAGATATGAGCCATCTCTCGGCCGCTTTTTTGCTTTGAGTTGCGAGCTAAAATTCGGGTTATGAGCCAGCTTCAGATACCCCACCACTAGTTGGCGCAGCGAACATCACAGTGAACGCCACAACATCAGCCCAACATCACGTGTCTCACTCGTTCACTTTTGATTTGACATACGAGTAATTTGAGTTACGAGCTCCGTTATGGAACGAATTAAACTCGTAAGTCAAGGCCCCACTGTATCAGAATGTGCTACCCACAGAAGCAGAAAGCTTAGTGAGTGTAAATGGGGCAAATGAAGTGTGGCTCTTTAAGGGCTCAAAAGGCTAGCATGCAATCCAGCAAATAGCTAATGCAGAAGGTTGTTGCATTAATGTGGCATTGATGTTTTTTATAAGAGTGATCCTCCAACCTAGTAGACATTTTAGAATAGATATTAATGAAGAGTTTGAATAGTTGAAGTCAGGAAACTGCAGGCATAGGATTTGCAGGCAGGAGTAGTTTCGGTATTTAATGCTGGTGGCTTAAGCAGCAAATGTATGAATATTTACCATTTCCATCTTGTAAACCCCACATAAGTGCATTAATTCATTCATGGCCATTATGGACAGAGAAATATCTTTCTATTAGTGTTCAGATAAAGACTTAGCTTGAACCATTGCTAAACATTAACACATAAGATTCCTTTTGCTTCTGTTAACAGTCTGGGCTCGTTCATGTTCCTTTTTAATCTATTATAGGAAAAAAGAGGAAACAACTTTCTTTTGTTTCTTACTTCTGTGATTATAGGATACTTGCCAAAGTTGTGGCTAGCCAAAAAGGCAGACATAAAAATTGCTACTAAAAATATAAGCCTTCTGTTCAGTCGAGTTTTTGAGAAATGTTATGAGACTGTATGACTTGTCCGTGTTTACTTCAAATCAAGCTTATAGTTAGGTTTGAGGCTTTGTTTGTATAAATTGTCCTGAAGTGGATCTTGATATTTAATTAAAATGACACTAAATCACTTTGAATTGATAAGACTTGGCATCTCAAACAAAGGTAATTGCCCGTATTGGTTTTGTGCAAAAATAGCGCCGCTTGGAAAATGTGCAGCCAACACAGACTGTCAGCTCCATTTATAGATCAATATGTGAAAACCATTGATCAGGCAGGCATGGATAACAGTAACACTTTGCATTTATTTGTTGTTTTTATACCACATTAAGGCTTACAGGATTATAGGCTTCCTAAATATTTTGACTTCCTCATAAATATATGATCTGTTGCATGTTAATTAAATGAGAGTCTGCAGCCATTTCTAAAATTGTTTTTAGTTTGATGATTTCCTTTTATTGCTGTGGATTGTATGATCTGGAAAAGGATTAGTTTCCTTCTGCATAAAGATTATTAAAGCTCATTTTAATGTGTCCTACTTAATGTACGATGTGGCTGCCTTTTTGCTTTGAAAAATATGGATACAGACAATTATTTTCTCTTAGCGAGTGGCTGATTTTTTATTTTTTTATTAACTGGGCAATCTCAGCACCCAGGGTAGAATTATTTCCTGACATATTTTGCACACCCAGTAGATAACGGGTCTTCTCGATTTCTCCTGATAGAATTTGTTTTCTTTCTTTTTATCTAGCCCTGTAGTACAGGCATCTGATTAAACATTATGTAGAAAATAAACTGCTTCTCAATTAAATTCCAGACACACACAAGTATAATTTGAATTCTGTTTTTCTGATTCAACAACAAACCTTATGAGCTGTTGTTATACACTGCATCCAGCAGCTAAATCTTCCTTATCTCATCAATGTAAGGACAGCGTTTTGTTCCTAATCTTTATTGGACTATT